TTTTTATAATGATTAATTACTAATTATCAATTATTAATTATTATTGATTGGTATATTACATATTGATAATTATAATTTAATATCAATTATTAATTGAGTAATTACTATTTATTTTTTTATTTACCAACTATTTACTAATTAATAGATTATAATTATCATAATATATGATTAACATGTTAATTATTTATTTAATAACCTATTATTACTTGTTTTATTGTTAATATATTATATTATTAATTTTTGACAATTAATCTTTTACTAATTAATTAATATATTATACAACTTTCAATCGTTTTATACTTTCTTCACAAAAATCATTTTCATTATTTTTTATTTTCGTTTCCGTTTTCAAAATTTTTATTAAACAAACGCGATTCGTAGACCGTTTTCAATTTCGTGCCTCAAAAGACGTGTGAAAACGTTTTCGAAAACATATCCAAACGCACCATAAGATTTTACAGATGTGCCCAAGATGGAGTTAAATTATTCTCTCTCTAATCTTTGGTCCAACTATAAGCACAAATTTGAAGGTATTGAGATTTTTACTAGTATGCCTTATCCGAGCTTTTATGCTTTCTTACTCACTTCCCACTTCTTCCCCTTCATTCCTCACTTTCAGAACAATGAACAAGTTGCTGAAATTATCATTCCCATTTCAACATTTTCCACTCGTTTTTGGTCCCTTCTTGTCCCAACTGCCTAAATCTTTGTTACATACCAAAAATCACCACACGGAATAATTATATGATAAAAAATGGATTTCACTAGTGTTATACGTTCTATCTTATGGGTTTGTAACAATTAGTATCAGAGCTACCCCACCGTTTTATGGGTTTGAGTCAAAGCGATTGCGTTATAGATTAGATGAAGGTGGTTTGTTATGATTGCATGGATGCATACTTTGGCATCAAATACTTAAGTGGACTCAACAAGAAAGAGAGGACTACCGATGGACCAGTGTCGATAAGATGGATCGTTTCTGATTTGGGCCCAAAGATGGTGGTTTTCATGGTTGCAATTTTACCTTCATTGGATCTTTAGTATGAAGAGAAGTTATATCTTTTAATTAGTGAAGAGTATGAAACTAAAATATAGACCAACTTGATTCAACTGCTATATATTACAAGAGGGCTAAGAACAAGGCACCAAACTATTTTACAGCTACAAAATGCTTAAGATTCTTGGATGAATAATACGAATACTGCTTTTAGAAAGCTAGTGTTCGAATATATCATTTTATTAAAAATTTAGGTCTAATTTATCCGACGCGGGTGAATAACTAGACTTCGAAAGTGGTGCCAAGCCTAATTTACACGTATTTCTATCTTGTATGAAGGCCCAAAAAGGTGTTTCTTTTGCACATAAAACATTAGAGAACCCACAAACCAGCAAAATGATCAAGGCCATAATGCCAATTACCTTGCTATTACTTGGGACCCTGATAGAGTGTCATCTGAGATATCATAGAAGAGATCATCACTCTTGCACAAGGCATAGACAATGTCCACCATGCTCGGCCGCTTGGATGGATCGCGATGCAGACAAGCGACAGCAACAGCCATGACACCCATCATGCTGTCCATTGAGTATGACTCCTCAAGGAAATTGTGGTCCATCCAATCCTTCAGTTTCTTTACCTTCTCTTCCTCATTCCCTTCCAAAACTCTACCAGCACCTGCCCATAACACATTCCCTTCCTCATCAATAACCTCCTTCCCGGATATCAGCTCAAGCAAGACCACACCAAAGGAGAAGACATCCATTTTGGTGGACACCATTCCATCAGTCAGATATTCCGGCGCAATGTAGCCTTGAGTTCCAACAATGTGCATTGTTATGGCATTGAAGCCTGACTTTGCTAGCCCAAAATTGGCGATTTTGGCTCTCATGTTGGTGTCCAAGAGAATGTTGCTGCTTTTTATGTCTTTGTGCACAACCCTTGGCCTTGTGTGCTCATGGATGTATTGCAGGCCATTTGCGACATCGACAGCAATTCTTAGCCTCGTTTTCCAGCTCAGTTTTCCGTTCTCGTTTTCGTGCAACCATGAGTACAGGGAACCATTTTCGACGTACTCATAGATTAGATAGCAGTTGGCATTCGAAGGGTCTATGCAGAAACCTTCTAGCTTCACCAGGTTGCCATGGTTTACCTTCAAAATTGGTAGGTCATTTTTTAGTAGTATTATAAGACCAACTCTAAATAAAAATACTAATGTCAATAATGCTATATTTGGTATAAACCAAAAGTATAACAATGACATATTTGATATGTTGTTTTGTTTTGTACTCCAATACATAATACTATTTTACTTTCTATATCTACTTTCATCATAAATTTAAGTAAACAGAAAATTTTTAATGTTTAAATAATTAAAAAATAACAATGTTGTCATTATTAGGTAAAAAAAGCAGCACACCAACCAATATACAACGAAATGCCAAAATTTGATATATCAAATTTGACATCAAGCATAGCATCCCATTGGAGAATATTTCTTTTTTTTTTACTCAAATACTAAATTACGAAATTAACAAAAAAAATTAACATTGGAGATTAAAAAATATTTAGCCACGATTTTTTTTCTTTTTTTGGCAAGATTTTTCTATCTAGGAGCCTTTGAACAGCTAAGAAGGGAGTAAATAGCAATTCAAAGAGTGGGACAACATCTAGTATGTGATTGGAGGAACAAAAGGAAAAGCAGTTTTCCATTTAGCTCACCCACCCAATTAGTTTATTGGATAAAGCTAGATAATTCCAATGAATAAGTCATGAACTAAAGTAAAATACAACTATATGATTATGCCTTTTCTTTTCAGCCAATAAATAAAATAAGATAACAATTATGAAGGCAACACTAGCTGAAAAGATTCCCTCTTTTTTTAAATAAAAGACTACTAAAATTGTCCAACCAATGAAGAAGAAAGAACAAGGAGAAAAACAAATCAAAATGGCTGCTGCTCATGTATCATTTTGTTCCTTTTCACATAATTCATAATTTCCTTACCTCAATACATAATATTTAAGAGTCAAGCCCACCAAACACACACACATATATACACATATATATTTAAGAGGTTTTTGACTTTTTTTAACTAACAAAATATATGTATTCCTTTACTATCTGCCGAATTTCATATTAATTAGACCCCTAATGACACCATTTTTGGTCGTAAGCTTATTTGCTTTTTCTCTTTTAATATATTCTTTGGAACATGCACTAATAAAACATTCAATATTAAGCCTTGTGGGTCCAAGTGATTCCTTAGTTTAGTAACATAAAAAATTAACTAACCATTATTTTATTAATAATTAAATAATTATATTATAACTAATCAATTTTCTAAAGGCGCTCCTTTACAAGCATCCTTAATCCTGTTTCCTGTTTGAATCTTTCAACCTCTGCAACTCAAAATTATTAACTCTGTCTCTGTACATTACATTATTATTAGACTTTGTTCTTGATATATCCTATTAAAAGTCTAAATCACGTCCAATAAAATTGAAAAATACAGACTATATGAATGGAAGATACACCTATATGATCGTCATTTCTTGTTAAAATATATCGTTTATGTCATGCAATTGATTGATTTTTTAAAAAACTGTCATATGAGAGAGAGTAAATTGTTATCTGAAAAAATTTTAGCCTTAATAAATTGGATTCTACTAACATGTATCTATCTTTATAACAGGAAACGCGCAATATTATTAGATAAAATTCTAAATCATGACAAAGGTAATTTTGCCCAATTTGACCAAACTAAATCATGACAAAGCCTTTAAGTGTAGTTTCCGTTTCAAATTTGAATGGATCAACTGGAGTCCCTCAGAATTCAGTGGACATATTTTACTTTTCTAACCAAAAAAAAAAAAAATCTGCATCATCATTAGTTTCTATAATAAAATTATTTTTCAGGCTCTTAATTTTTAATGTTAAGAGATTTCTGGGGTAGAGTATTTATACAAATATAGCGAAACATGCTCTTGAAATGTAAAATGACCATGTTTTTAAAAATATTCACGAATTATGTCGCTAATATCATCTTGCCTCCTAATTTTAACAAGTGCTATTCAATCTACTTAAACCTTAAAACGTCTGCGAAAATACCTTTTCTGTCACAAATGAAATTATCTGTTCCAACTAAATAATACTAAAATCTAACTTAAAGTATATGTCTTATTATTATTTTAAAAAATTAAGAAAAGCTGAAGTTATCCTAATGCTACATAAAAAGGAAAAATTAACTAACAAAACTATAATAATAATAATAAAAAACTGAAATTTTTAATAATTTTAATCAGAAAATCACTCGGAAAAGAAAAAAATCAACCAGTACCCAAATCTGATAAAAATTCAAGGATCAAAGCTGCACCATTGATATATAACAGAACATATCAATTTTTGTTTTTCAATCTGTTCACATAATTGTGTTAAATTTTTGAATTATGCAGCTTAAAAACCAAAAAAATTCTCGGATAAGAAAGTAGATATTTACCTTCTGCAAGATCTTGAGCTCCTCACAGGCGTTCCAATTCATCTTCTTGATGGCGAAAACCTCTCCATCAATGGTTCCTTTGTAGACAGAACCTTGAATCAAGCAATTCTCATGGAAGCCATTAGTGGATTCTTCAAGCTCATCAACCCCAAAAACTCTGTACTTGTCCAAACACCCAGAAACATCAGCCATTAAAGTCTCTTCCATTTCCTTTGCTACTTTATTATTATAACTATTACTCTTCCCTTTCATACCAAATTGACCCTTCTCTTTCTCCACATCACCCCACAAAGCTCTCCTCTTTCTCATTAACCTCTCTCTATATAACAAAACCCCACCAACCAAAACCAGCAAAACCGCAGTAATTCCAAGCCCAACTGCCAATCCTATAACGGCGCCATCATTGTCGTCGTTTTCGGAAGGCGGCGGGGTGGGGGCGGTCGCGGGTTGTGTCAGCTCCGGGAGCTGGCTAACCGGGATGAAAATGGTGTCAAAAGGGTTGATGTTTTCTCCATTGTAGTCAGTTATGGCCTTGGTTTGGACCCCAAAAGTTGAAGCCACCGTTGACAAATTATCAGACAGTTGGAAAACATAGGAGACGAGATGGTTGACTTTCTGGCCATTCTCCAACCGGGATGTCCTGTTGGGGCACTTGCAGAAGATGGGGAAAATGGCTTCAACACCGATGGAGAGGTTTGTAGGGACGAGAGTTGGATTAACTATCTCAACTGATTGGTAAGTAGTGAGGTTTCGGAAGTTGTTTGTTGAGACCAAGTAGAAAGTGTCACCTTCTTTGATGGTGTAGGAAATGTTGGCGTATGAGATGGTTCTGGTGTCGTTAGGGACTGAATTGCAAGAACATGTTATGGGGACAAAGAGAGCTTGATTAGGGACTAGAGTTGAAGACGGTGATGATATGTTGCTAGGTTCTGATATCATGAGCCTGCTGACTGAGAAGAGGTCGCCTATGGAGGCAAGATCAAGAAAATTCGGAGCCGAGGCTCGGTAGAAGACATAGGTTTCGCATGGGCTTGTGGTCTGGTTGATGGTGCAGTTGTAGCCTGTGGTGTTTGGAGCTGTTTGAGCATTTGAATAGATGATGAAGGAGAAGAAGGAGAAGAGGAAGAGTTTGGCGGTTTTCATGATTTTTGGTTTCTAGTTTTTTGGCTGCCTTGGTTGGGTAATTTTTTCGAGTGAATATATAATTTGAAACAGAGAAGATGGGGATTTTGGAATGGAAAATTGGAAACTCTTTTTTGTCAAGAACCTTGTCAATCTGCTTGTATGATTGTTCAATTTTCTTTTGTTCCGACCGTCAATTGGGTGCTTGGTCCCACTTAATTGAGAATTTTCAGTCTTGGGGGATTTGGGGTCAACAACAATGACTTGTTTGCTCAGTCATGAGTTTTTTTTAGTACTAGAATTCTATCATATTTAAAAAATATATATTTAACAGTTTGACGGAATTTCAATAGTTCAAAACTGCTTATAAGAGAATTCTCCTTATTAATTTTGTTATCTTCAGAAGTGGATGAATTGTACATAAATAATTAAAAAGGAAAATTATTATTCTGTTACAATATTTTTTTTCTTATAAAAAATTTAAATAAAAAAAATACCTACCAAACAAAAAATTTAAATCAAAACTCAAATCATGATTTAAATACACTTCTCAAACTCTAAAAGAATTTTAAAGTTTTTCTTGCGCGTATAGTATGGTCATCCAAAATGTCAATAAATTTGGTACCACAGAAACATGTGCTGGTAATTTTTATGTGGATTCATATCTCATTTTACTCCGGCCAGTCTCTGATCTTTTCCAAAGTGGGAAAACTATAATGAATTTCGCCCCTAAATTCTCAATCACGCAAAGCGAATAGTTGGACTTCATTCTTGACTTACCTTATCACCAGCACAAATAAGCAATAAATGTATGACATCAGATAACAAGACCAAGAAGATTCACTTTTATCACCTAGACCGAGCCCTTCGAGATAATGAGATTTTTACAATGAGATATGAAAATATATATATATATATATAGATGTTCACGGTGTATTTTCAGCAACTCGTGATTACTTCTCTAAAAATACTCACGTTAACACTCACGGTTTGATTAAGGATTAAGACTGAAAAGTAATGTAAATGAGACAACAATTTTATAGTGGTTCGGCAATAATTCTTTGCTTAATCCACTTGTGCATGCACTAATCTTTCAACCGGTTACAAGCTCTCTTTCTTTTGTAATGAAATGGTGTCTAACCCTCATCTCAGTCTTCTTGGCTCTATTTATAGGCCTTTACATGTGAATACGTATTCCCGTTCCCAAGGAGGAAGCCATCTTCTGTCCTTGATCCGCGTGAAGGTAGGTGAGTTTTCATGATGACTGCTCCGGGAAATGCGGCTGATCCTTCCTGTCTGCCGCCTGATTTCCTGACTCCTGCAGTAGCAGTCGGATCAATACTTTCCTCTTCGAGTTGACAAGACCGCCGTTAGAGAAGACCGACAGTGTCCCCTCGGTGTCGCGGCCTCCGAAGGCTGAGTCATCGCGCCCGGCGCCTCTTCCCACATATGGTCCTTGACGTAGAAGGCACATTAGCCTCGGCCGTTCCCTCGACGCCAACGGCCGATCCTCTGCGGGGAGTCCTCGGCGTCTGTCGTTCGAGAGAGTGGTCGACCTCTCGACCATGGTGTAACAATTACCCCCTAGGCTGGAACGTCACGGTGTGACTTTCCTAGCTATACAGCGTCGAGGATGCCGCGTGGAAAAAGGCCTTCCTGTGAGTAAGGGCGGTTGCTCGCTGGTACAGTGATCATTGCGGCTGGTTTCTTGGGCAGTGGAGTAGTCACGTCGATTGCATCAACCGTCACGTCCTCATTTCCCCAGTGCCACGTGGAACTGGAAGGATGAATCGTCGTCGTCAGATCGAGTTCTTTTCTGTTGCTCTCTCCCCGACCGTTCGATCGTGCCTTCTCGGATCCACTGTCGGATGGAACCAAATCAGATCCTACGGTCGAGATCTAGAGCCTTTTGGACTCCTCGGGGACCCTTGAATCTCCCTTCTGGCGGGTATATAAATGCCCTCATGTCCTCATCTCTCTAACCATCACGCTTTCCAAACGCCGTTACTCTGCCGGATTTTCGCCGAGCCTTCTGCCTCCGTGCATCCTCCCGCACTTTGATCGTCTTTTGCTCTCAGACTCAAGCTTTCTCAGAATCTGGTAAGTCTTCATTCCCTCCGTTCTTCCCGTGGGTCCGGTTCCAGTGTCTGCGAGGGTCATGCCAAAACGCATTGTAAGGAGGGCAGTGTACTTCCCTGGTGCCGCCAGCCTTATGTCGTTGGCTGAGCTTATACTGCCTGACCCATTTGGGCGCTGCTGCTTTGGCCTGAGGCCCCCGAGCTTGGCTCTGGGCCTCCCTGGTCCATGGTGCTTTCTGTTTTTCTTCTCGCTCTGCGCTTTTGACCTCTTGACCACTAGGAGCTAACTCGCCCCCTTGTTTGACTTTCTCCAGAACATGTCGTCGAAGCAGACTAGAGGTCGAGAGGTATCTGCGCACAGGGTCAGGGATGATCCTGAGGATGTCGCGACTTCGAGCGCATCTTCGGGCGAAAGCGGGGATTCCTTGCTTCGTCAAGTGGACGAGTATGCTGAGGTGTCAGCCTCGGCTTCTCAACCGGACGCACTCATACTCCTCGTCGACGAGGGTGCTGACCCACAGGCCGGTTCCCCCGGCGATCGAAGGTACGGGGTAGCGTCGACAAGCTCCCTTTCGGGACTGGCCACATATCTTGACCCATCAAAAATCAAGCCCCACGCCGCTAGGAGGGCATTCACCGAAGCGGGGATCGACCCCCTGCACTTTTACCTGATCATCCCGACCCCCAACGACAGGGCTCACAACCCTCCCCCCGGTCACATGACTGTGTACACTGCACTAACCTTTGGACTGACTCTGCCCTTCCATCCATTCGTGAAAGCCCTCTGCAGTATCCACAGGATCTCTCCCGCACAGTTGTCACCCAATTGTTGGGTAACAATTCATTCCATGATAATATTATGGAGGAAGTTCTTGAGCATCGACCTAACTGTCGAGGAATTCTTGTACTGCTACTCCCTCATGGCCTCCCCCAATCAAAGGGGGTTCTTTTATTGATCCTCCCATTCTAAGTCCAAACCTCATGTCCCATCCGTGGTCGTCGAGAAGACCACCAGTGCTCACGGGTGGAAGCCCCAGTTCTTCTTCCTCGGGGGGAATTTCAATTCTCACCCCCTCGACGGCGAGCGCCCGATGGGGACTCAAACAGTATTCAGTAAATACTGTAGGTTCCTCCCCCTTTCTTCTCTCCTTTTTTTTAAAGGTCTCTGTGCTGCTGTCGTGCCTACTCACACTTGTTGTTTCCTACACGTAGGTGAAGAAGTCGAGCGATCAAGGCTCTCCTTGGCCGCTCTTGCTCACATCGAGAAAATACTGTCGCTTTCTGCCGACCGTCGACGTGCCTCGGCCCTCAATACCCGGAGGAACTGCCTGCTGTGCGACCTTGTCGTAGAGCTTCCTCCTTCGTGTCGACCCGTAGTTCCTCATGCGGATCTTCTTAGCGGTAAGTTGGCTCTTTCCCCATAATCTCTTTAGCAACGGCCAAGGGATGTAGTCGAGATGTCCCTAATTTGATATCTCTTTTTCCGTGTAGCCGTGCCGTCCGAGATGAGATACACCATCCCCGCCAAGATGAGGTAGAGCAAGACCGGTGCGGAGTCGAGCGAGATGTCGAGCCAGCCTGCGGTCCAGACCGTTGCCTCCCTCGGCATCACTATAACCTCGAGAAGGGGAGTGGTCGTGATCGAGCACCCCGCGAAGAGGCAGAGGGTGGACGAGCCACGAGACCCTCATGTGGTCGAGGGGTCTTCCGGGCAGAGCCGACGCCTCAATAAAAAGAAAGGCGCCGAGGTTGCCGCAAACTTGGCGGTTTTGCCCCTTCCGGCGGAGCCTCTCATGCTGCCGGGGTCGAAAGTCAACGATCCCAAGTTCCTTGTTCCGGATGTGGTCGACCTCGACTTCACCCACGCTCTGCGCCTTCCCCCCCGCTTCAGCCTTCCTCTGCAGGCCATATATACCTTCTTTCACGAGGAAACCTGGGACATTTATTCTGGGGAGAGTATCTTGGACCGGCAGCGCCTGACCGTGAAGCGCCAACTCTCGGTAAGTCCCGACCTCGACTACTATCACTATTTTTCATTCGCATGTATGCAGTTTTTTTTTTTTAGTGGTTTGGCTTCTTCATCCTCACCGTGTTTTTTTTTTTGGAGTTCAGGCCTTCGAGCTTGCTCTCCAGAATTATGTGGAGTTGGAGGGCCTTCTCAAGGGGGAGACGATGCCGCCGGCTGCCAAAAAGGAAATCAGTGCTCTTCGTACCATCCGAGACGAGCTTTCGATAGACTTAGAGGTGGAGAAGGCCAAGGTGCGGTCCCTCGAGGATAAGATGAGAAGTCCAGCAGTTTCAAGGCGGGCTTTAAGGAGGGGAGCTCTAAGGGGGTCAAGACGTACCTCTCATCTCCAGAGTTCCTGGAGGGGCAGAAGGAGGCGACCTCCAAAGCCATCTCGGACTTCATGGCCTCAGAGGACTTCCGGCGCCGGGTCGACGCCAGGCTGGAAGCATTCAAGGAGTTCCAGGAGCTCAAGGACATGATTGAGGGCCAAGTGCAGCAATTCAAATCCTCAGAAGCTTTCGAGGAGCTCGTCAACCAAAGGCTCGAGGCCTACTAGTCTTCAGCCGAGTTTGAAGAGCTCCAACTGTCATTGATGCAGTCCGCGGGGGAGCAGATCCTCGACCGCTTCCGCAAGAAGCATCCGGATGTCGACCTATCCTTCCTCGATGAGTCCGACAGCGAGGGCGTGGAGGTTATCTAACCGGATCAGGGGACCGAGGGGGCCGAGCGAGCATAGGAGGATGCCGAGCAAACCGCGGGCGGAGATGGCGAGCAGTGAGGGGACTTCTCCCGGGAGCTTTCATTGTTTTTGTAACACTTTTTTTTTTTACCAGGCCGTGAGGCCCAGACAATATTTATTCGATGATCTGTAATGACCATAAGGTCGAGACAAGTTTTTTTTTTATTTCTTCTCTATATATTTTCATGCTTACCTTTGCTCACTGTTTGTGTGGATGTTGCGCACGTATAGATTCTTTTTGCCAAGTGTAGGCTCGACCACCTCTTGTGAGAAGACAATTTTTTTTTTTTTGTGGGGGGCCTCATGTCGGGCCTTAGTACCCCCTCGCCCAAGCTGAGTTTTAGAACTCGGCTTTGGCGTACCATTGTCAAAGTTTCGACGTAGATGGTAAAATATTGAGTGTAAGAAATCTGCTTGTTGCTTGGGTATGGTTGAGCCATAGCCCCACCGCCCTTGCAAGTTCGTGGGAGCCCTATTGTCCCCTCGCCAAAAACAAAGCCTTGGACTTGTTTTTGGCGCATCGTCGTCGACGTATCGACGAATTGATATG